ATTATTTGATTTCCATTCAAACACTTCTTAAAATAGACGTTCATAATTTCTGGCTTTCCTTATGAAGAAGGACTTCATACTTTTTAACAAAAAAAAGGTTAAAAAAATGAAAGAAATTGGACAGACAAATCGACGTTTGATTTCCTTAATTGTGATTGGTTTTAAACAATACTCTCTTCTATTCTTATTATAAACTTTGAATAAGTAATTCACGGAATACTAATAACTATTCCCAAAAAAAAAATGATAGAATTATACTTTTGTTTTTAAATATGCTTTTATAATAAATGAGAAAAAATGATAAAAGAAAATATATAGAAAAATGTGATAAAAAAGAATATGGTATATGAGAGAGAATAAATAACTAAGGTAAAATTAAAAAAAAATTAAATATTAAGATAAACTCATATTAAAACTTCTAAAATGAGGCATACTTCTCTCTAAATTTAAAATTTATAAATAGGATATAAGGGAGTATTTCAAAATAGTAATGGACAAAAATTTCTTTTTATTACAAGTCTTAAGGGAAAAAAGGTAAATAATCTTTCATTATAACTTTTGATTCATTTAAAACTCAGCTTTTAATCAATGGACATTTAATAATTTAATCTTTATCATACATAACTTGTTTGATTAATCAACTAATAATTATTTTACATGCCAATTAATTATCTCCTCTATTTCTTCTCCTCATTTCCGCATGCATAGCCTGATAGCCTTCTACAAACCCCGCTAACTACGCTGCCTGACGCCTACCGTGGCTCTCCTCCCCCATGTCAATGGGGCGCGGGGTCTCTCCATTTCTTTTACATCCATTTCCCTCCACTTCTCTAATCTTGACCCTTTATATAATCTGTGGCTAAAAAAATACAAAAACACATGACATTTAATACCTTTGTATCACACCCTATAAAACTCCCTCCCTTCCCCCACGCTTTCTCTCTCAATTCTTTTTTTTTTTCTCTTTCTCTTACTCTCTCTTGGCCGGGTTTTTAGCTTATTATTTATAAAAAGGTTTTAAACCTGGGTTTTAAAACACTATTACTCTATTTTTATTTATAAATCAATTGTAGAGAAAAAGATTGTTCCTAAATATAAGTCACTTATTAAGTAATTAATAAATTTTTTTAATTTTGTCCTATTGACTTAATAAATACAAAGAGTAATAAAGTGAATAGGTGATAAACATATTTTTAATACTTTTTTTAATAAGGCAAATGTGAAAAAAAATTATAAATTTAATGCATTTCTTGATTTACAAGTTTGGGATACAAGTGATTTATAAATAGAGATAAAATGGTATAATTTTTTAAAGTGCAGGACAACATATTAATTTATTTATCACTTTCTGAAAATATTGCATTAGTCCACTTTGTTTTTTTTGAGCAACACGCCAATACCATAAAAACAATAAAAATTGTTATCTTAAAAAAATTGTCATTATTCTTTTTGGATTTGCTAGCAAAAAATTGTCATTATTCTAAACTTAAGAAACAAAACAAGAAAATAACAACTTTATACCGCCTTCTTTTAACTGATTTTTTCTACTATCTTAATTGAATGTCGTGCAACTTTTTAATAGTTTTATCGTTTTTTGTGTAAAATTTTTATTATTCTAATTTTTACCTATAATTAATAATATGGAGTGAGAATGTAGAGAGAGAACAAGAGAAGAAGATTAAAAGGGAGGAGAGAGTAGAGTGAGTGCACAAAAAAAAAAAAGAAATGGAAAAGAGAGAGTTTTATAGGGTGTGATGTCAAGATATGAAATGCCATGTGCCTTTGCGTTTTTTTAGGCGTAGATTAAATGAAAGGTGAGGATTAGGGAAATGGAGGGAAATGGAGGAAAAAAGAAATGGAGAGGCCCTGTGCCGATGTCAATGAGAGAGGGAGAGAAGAAAAAGGAAAAAAAAGGGGGGGTGTATATTTTCAAATTGTCCTTTCAACAATGCAGACTGCATCTTTTTAATTTTATGTAATGTTTTAATTTGACTCATTCACTATTTTAAAGTATATTTTTTATCGTTTAATCTTAAAAATATGAGGCTTAAATGATATTTTTTTAATTACAATCATAATTATTTTAAAAATTAAATTTAATATGTTAGTATTTGAGAATGTTTTATTAACATATAAAATTTCAATGTCATATTATTTGGTTAACAATTTTAAGATTAAAGAATTAAAAGTGTACTTTTTTAAAGTTAAGGAACCAAATTGATATCTTGTATAAAATTAAAGGACTAAATGTATACTTTAGCCTCAAATCTCTTTATTAATTTTTTTAAAAAATTTATTTATATTTAAAATCTCCTTAATTGTTGTTTCTATGATTTATTTGCTATAACTCATGAAATTAAGAATGCATAAAATTTGATTTTTTTAAATCTTTTAGATAAATTTAATGATTTAATTACTTTTCATTGATTTTGATTTTGATGAGATGATTAGAGGTATTTTATAATAAGAATTAATAAAATACCTCAAATTACAAGGAAGTCGGCCCGTTTAAAATCCCAAGTCGCAACCAAACAGATAGAGTCGCAAACATTATAATTTAGAAGCAAACGGAAAATCGCACACCCTTAGTTGCAAGGAAGTCATATTGTATAAGATGGAAATTTGATTTGGTTCAAAATATAAAACCTTAATCAATTTTGTTCTTTAAATCTGTAATTTACTACTTTAAATTATCTCTATTAATTACACATGTCAAGAGATTTTTGTCCAAGAATGATTAAAAAAAGATACTTTAAAAAAATCAATTCATACTTTTACGAATAATTGATTTAACTAATTTTTTAATTTAATTTAATTAGTTAAGTAGTTTTTATATTAAGAATCAGAAGCAATATATAATTGAACATGTAAAAATTCTGTAAAACATCGTCGATATATTAAATGTGCACATTATTAAACTGAACTTAAGGAATAAGATTTCCGGTGAAAAAAAAAAAACTTAAGGGATAAGATACAGAAACAGGGCGCCCAACTTTTATGACACTCTATATCTTAGCGTATGAGACCGAATTATTATTAATCAGGTGACGGAGCCTCGAGGCTGTTATTTTCATGATTGGTTAATAAAGTTAAGGAGATGAGAAAAATTAGGTTAACGTCTCTGCCATTTAATTTCCACAGATGGGACCAATGATTGATACAATTCATCCAAAATTTTACTGTTTGGCGTCTCCATGCATCAAGTTTCCAGAAATGGTGCCACGTGTGTGGGTGGCTGTCTGGATTTATTCTTGATTTTTTACCTTCACAAAATTAATATAAATGGTGGGTTATTTCAGTTATCCCACATAAAATATGGAATGGAACTGTTATCCTCGTATAGAATTTGAATTTTATTTTTATTGATGCCACTAATTTTCTTCAATACTCAAATATATTTTCTTATTAGAAATAATTTTATTCAAAACATTGTTGGATACTAAATGTGGATATTTTTTCCTAACAGATTGATGAGATTAATTCAAGAAATATTACTCCACTAATCTTATTTATAAACAAGAAAGAAAAGTTGTTTTTTCTTTTCTTATTTACCAGCTACATCATTAAATTTTTTTATATGACTATATATTTTTAATTACCACACATTTATTATTGTGTAGAATGATATTTTTTTGGAAAAATTTTATATTAAATAGGAGTAAAGTTGAAAAGTTACAAAGTTACTCACCCAAATCCTTTTTATAAGATCCCAAAATTTAAATTTGTTCTGTCCTTTTCATGAAATCCTACTTAGGAAGTATAAATATTAAATTCATTCTCATCCGTTTAATTTTCTATTCTCCTTCATAATATTTTTCTCATACTTTACTTTTTTTTATTATCTTTTGTCTTATTACTAGTATTTATTTATCTTATTCACTCTCTTATTAAATAAGGACAAACTTAAAAAAAAAGATTCAATTTTTATGTATTTATAGCTTTTAACTAATTCTACCTGTTTTTTAAACTACGTAATTTAATAAAAATGATTTTATAAAAAGGATAAGAGGTGTATTAAATTTGAAGACAAAGCAAATAGTAATCACAATTTTTCTTTGTTTGTGAAAAACATGTTGAAGATAATTTATAAACAGAAGCAAATAATTATATGTATAGTACCACTTATTCCTATATGTAAGTCACTTATAGGAGAAAAGTTTATTTCTAAATATAAGTAATTTATAGAATAATTAATAACTTTTTAAAATTTTTTTACCCCTATTTATTACAATAAAAAAAAGGTAACATATATTTTTTCTCGACGCCATGTATGTAACAGGGGTGAGTGTGAAAAACTTTATCAATTTAATGCATTATTTATTGGTATGTAAGAATGAGGTACAAATAACTTGTATGTAGGAATAGAGTGATGGTGCTTCCTCCTGTACTTATTATAAACTTAAAATAATTAATTTCCATAAAAAAATTTTAAAATTAATTAAAAGCAATAAATGAATAAGAAATATAATTTTATCTTCAAATACGCTCTTATAATAAATGAGAAAAAATAAAACAGAATGCATGTGAAAATATAATGACAAAAGAGAGAAAATAAATAATTAAAAAAAAATATTAGATGTTGAGACAAACCGAAATTTAAATTTATAAAATGGACCACACAGTTCTTTAAACTTAAAGTTTATAAATATAACAAAAGAAAGTAACAAGGATTTTGTACAACACAAACAGCTAGATGCACAAATAGGGACCAATCTCACTTATTGGGCGATTCCTAAACAAGCTCGATCGGATGGGTCCATCCCGTCCCTAAAAAACTAGCTAGTATGGGACGGGCCAATCCAGGCAAGTGTAAGGGTGAGCATTCTTTTTTAATGTATATTAATATGTTATCAGCCATATCTATATATTTCAATAAACATATTTATCAACAGTCATGCTTGTTTGCTTGAAATTAACAAATCGATCAACCTGCCGGTTTAAATAATTCTGATGGACAAAATTATTTAAGTATGAATCTAGTTAATATCTCACCAATAATATTACAGACTACTCCAATGGAAGAACCTAAATGCTTTCAAGAGCTTAAACCTATTCATCACAATATCGTCAAGAGGTTGATCCGGTGCTTCTCCATCTTCCTTGATCCATGGATGATCTGTTTCAAATTAGTTTCAGAATTATAAATATCAGTGCTTAATTAATCTGTTATTAGAACATGCATGAGCCTACATCTCAAGATGGTGATATATTATATATAATGCCAGATATGTAATATATATTGAAATTCTTTTTCTCTTATCATCCTTCACCCAATAGAAGAAAACTCACATACCCATCATACCCATAAAGGGTTAAACTAGTAACTTTACATTTAAGAAAAAAATTTTAAAAAATATTTAGTGTCATTTCACATTTGGGTTAGAAGCATTGCCGTACATATATTGAAATTCTTTTAAATCATAAATGAGAATTAGATATAGTGTTAAATGACTGCCTCTATTTATATCTGTTAAATTGTAAAAAGTGCAACACTGGAGAGGATATATATATATATGGATTTACGCTCTGTTTTTTAATGTGTTTTTTTTAAAGAAATTTTTTTATTCCGATAACATCCTTCTATCCACTAACTTTATCCCAATTAATACAGTGCAAGTTATTAAAATATTCTTACATGTCCATTTCAATCTATAAGAGATTTCTGGAATAAATTGTGAAGATTAGTGAACCTCATTAAATATAGTTAGAATTAAATAGTATTTATTAGGGCTAAGGTGCGCCCAGCACCCTGAATTATTTACCCAGGTGCGTCCAGTGACCTAAAGTAATTTTGGGTGTATCCAGTGTCATAAACTAATTAAAATGGTGCGTCTATATCCCAAGCTAACAGAAATGTTATGTTTAACTGTTACTTTCCTGACTCAGCTTAAAGTTGACCCCAGATATTCTAAATGGTAGACATATGGACATTTGATATGTATTATTCTTACTCAAAATTGAATTTATTTCCTTCCTCTTCTTCTAAATAAATTGACTTTTGAGTAAGAATAATACATATCGGGTGCCCATGTGTCTACCATGTAGAATATCTGAGGTCAACTTTAAGCTGAGTCAGGAAAGTAACAGTTAAACATAACATTTCTGTTAGCTTGGGATATGGACGCACCATTTTAATTAGTTTAGGACACTGGATGCACCCAAAATTACTTTAGGCCACTGGACGCACCTGGGTAAATAGTTCGGGGTGCTGGGCACACCTTAACCCTATTTATTATAACTAACTAATTTGTTTAGCATTTTTAATTAATCTATTTAAATTAATAAGTAGCTCTTATATTAAGAATACAACATACTCAAGACTTGATCGGCTGTGAGCCTGTGGTTGGGATCTGAATTCAACATTTTAGTGAGAAGGTCTTTTGCTGAAGGAGATATGGTTGGCCATGGATCCCTTGACAAGTCATATTCGCCTCTTTCGATATCATCGAATATCCCATTTGCATGTGCTGTCGTAATTCAAATCTATTTTAGCCCACAAATTTTAATCCCACCATTCACATTTATAACAAAATATTCATTTGATATACACGCACATTATTTTTCTGGTAATTCATTCATAGTACTTTAAATTATAAATAAGACGATGACGTTGGATGCAACTGAAAAATAACATCCAGAGTCTTGGATATGCTGGAAAAATAATATCAAGGTACTATATACGCTATAAATAAATGTTGGATACTATTGAAAAATAACATTAGAGTATTGGATACTATTTTACCCTAATTTTTATATTATATGATATTCTTGGATTAGATTCTAAAATTGTTGTATTTAACTGAACGTAACTCATTTAACATGATTTTTTTGGGGATAGTATAAGATCCTGACAAAAGAAAATTACTAAAAGGTCCCTTAACAAATGAATAGCTTATAATGACAAATTCTAGTATAGGAAATGATAGCATATTTCAAGTTTAACTACTCATTTATCATTCGAACTTTTTAGTAATTATCCTCTGGATACTTCTTTAGGACCTTAAAATAATTCCCACCCCCACCCCTTTTTTAAAGTATTTACAAATTTTGAAACTTTCGGCCTTGCTATATGGTAAAACTTGACCCAAATATTATCTATATAAATATAAAACAAATTATATTTTTTGAACGAAGAAACAAAATGTATTTGAATTGTGACGATTATTGGAGAGAAATCAAAGGGGTATGCGTGTGTGAGAACCTGGCCAAAATGGATGAACACCACAAAGAAGAGTGTAAAGGATGACCCCAGCACTCCAAATGTCAATTTCTGGCCCATATTCCCTCTTCAACACCTCAGGTGCCACGTAACACGCACTCCCAGCGACCAAGTCAAACACCTCTCCTAACAAAATCACAACAAATTTAAAAAAAAAAAAAACTATTTTGCTACTTAGTTATAATTTAATTATTTTGTCTCCATAATTTAACTCAATTATAATTCAATCCTTTAACTCATTAAGCTCATCATCAATCTCATAACTTTCAATCATTTAATCAATTGGTCCCCATGTTTTTCAAAAAATGAATTATAACTAAGTCAAGAAAATTAGATGTACATATATGATCGATATATGTGTGTGTGATGGAAGGAGATGAACTTATTAACCTTGTTGGTAAAAAGAAGAAAGAGTGAAATCAACGAGTTTGAGGGGAGAACTGGCCTCGTCATTAAGAAAGAGAAAATGCTCAAGGCATATATCTCTATGGATGACACCCATGGAGTGGCAAGTATGGATGGCTTGAACTATGTCCCGTAACAGCGCCGCCGCAGCTCGCTCACTGTGGTAGCCGTTGGCAATGATCCGATCGAGGATCTCACCGCCGGCGCAGAGCTCCTTGACGACACGAATCGATTGTGAGTCCTCATACAAGCCTTTGAGCTCCACAATATTAGGCTGGCCAGCCAAATGTTGCATGATTTGGACGTTAGTAACTTCATCCTCTATATCATCTTTGTTCTTGAGCTTCGTCTTGGCTATGGTTTTGCATGCAAATGGTTCGCCTGTTAACTTGTGTGTACATATATACGTAGGCCCAGTTTGGCCTCGCCCTATCTCATTTCCAATGCTATAAGTGGCCTTCAGAACTTCCATGGGCTCGGTGAAGATCTCGCCACCGGGGCCAGCTTGGGTGTGGCTGTCGATGTTCATCAACATGGTGGTGGGGTATTTTTTATGTGAAACGAGGAAGACAGAGGTTAGGAGAGGTATAAGATGGGGGGAAAAAATTACCAAAGGAGAACGTATTGGGCATGTCTATAAATTGGAGGGTTATGAGGGAAAAAAGGGATACATAGTTTCTTTGTTTATTTTTGATTTGTGGAATGAAATGGAGAAATTAAATTAAAGGTGGTGATAGAAGAAGGAAAATTTGAGCGAGAATTAGGGATATTTGTCTGGTTGTTAAGGAACAGGTTGAGCAGAATCCTGAGGAAACACACGCATCTAACTCTATTTTAGGTTAAAATTAAAAAGTAGACATCATATGATATCATTAGATATTTTTAGATAAAGCTCGATCCAGTACCTGATCTTATTTTTCAAATGCATTCAGCATTCTAATTTTTTATAGTGCATCTAGTACTTCGATCTTATTTTTTTGTACATTCAGCACTCTGATATTATTTTTTTTATTTGCACCGTTTTTAGGATGTTATTAGGGTACTAGCTATATGCATCAGAAAAATAAGATCAACATGCTGGATGCAGCATATAAAAGATTAGGGCGTTTGATGTATTTTTATTTTATTTTCTTTTTTTTTTTAAGGTTAGGTGAAGAGACTTAACAGAAGTGCTTTAATCAAAACTATATGGTGCAGCTAGCTATAGGTTAGTAAACCAAAGCTATCTTCCTATAAGTAGGAGATCACATGCTCAATTTTACTTATAATTTCTAATTATCAGTGTTGATCCCCTAAATAAGAAATATTTTTTAGATTAATTATGCAGATATATGTAGGGAAAATCACACACACACACACATATATATATATATATTGCAAATCACATATCAAAAACCGTTATAAGACTTCTATAGGTTTTGACAACAAATGAGTGGCAAATGACGACAAATTTTGACAAAATACCTTATTTACAATTTTCAATTTTTATGGTCTTTTCTTGTTATTTTTTCATATATATATATATGTATATATTAGAATTTTGTGCGTGTGAATGTGTGATAGAGAACATTTATACAACCATGCGAATATATATAATTATGACGCCATTGGAGAAGAAAATTTAAACCTATTAATCAATTAAAGAATGAATACATAAGAATACACCCTTTGATTCCTCCATTAATGATTGCAGCAAAAAATGGAGAGAAAGAAAAGAATAAGCGAATCAAAACCCAGAAAATTTTTTTACATTATTCATGATGATCAAATTAACTTATCCTCTGTGTGTGTGTTTTGAATGGGTCTGTCTTTTTCTCCTGTGTTCATCCCTGATGAATGATGATGACCAAATCCTTAACTTATATCCCCTCGCAACCAACAGACAATGAATATATTCACAATGTTTCTTTCTTTCACGTCCCATGCACGTACGTACGAACGAGTTTATCCTCCGATGAAAATTAAAGGGCCTGAAGCTGAATAATGATGGATGGATCCCTTTTAAAAATCATGTTACACTTCCTCCTCCTCCGATCGAGTCCTTTCGATCATTTTGAAGATCTCATGAAATTAAACAAATGACTCCGTACGTCTCTTCCTGGTTTGGGCTTCCGGAGCTCCTTTCCTCATCATTGCCGAGAACTCCTCATAGTTGATCCGACCATCCTGTCCCCACAAGATTGAACAATATTCAATCATATACATATATATATACATTTATATATTTATAGTATGCACACAAATTCTAGAAAACGATACAACTAATGATATGTCAGAGTCTTTGCACATGAACCAAACCAAATCGGATCGGTCATTAGCCTGATGAGAGGGACTAGGTTAAAAAATATCTACTATGATGCCTTCTTAATGCTTGTTTGGATTAATGCTGGCAAAATTTTTTATCTCCATTATATTTTGAAAATTAAGGTTGGGGTAAAAGTTGTAATGTGATTTATATTTAAATATACTTTTATTAAGAAAACATCAATTTGACAGTAAATTGTTTGGATAATATAAATATACATATATATAGAGAATAATCAGAAGTCAGAAGCTCCAAAACTAGCTTTGGCTTTTGGCCAAAATCTGCTATTTATCTCCAAAATCAAACTATTACCTCATATTCTAATTATAAAATCTCATTTGTAGTATACAAATAAGGTCTTATAATTAGGACAGGAGATAGTATCATTTTGGGTATCAATTGGCTTTTTAGGGTTTAAGTGAGTTTTGATTAATGACCTAAAAGCTTATCCCAATCCAAGCCTTATATTTAAAATTTTAGTCCGTTGACTTCACTTGATCTAGAGAATGGGAGAGGAGTTAGTTATTATTTGTCTTTACTTTGATCCTTTTCTCTTTATCACTACTATTTCGCTATATAATATGTAACCCATGTATAATTTCAGAGATTGGTTTTATATATAATGCAAGAAAAGATGCCATTTTGATCTTTTTGTCAACTTCTTAATTAATTAAGAACTTGGTTGTTTAATCTTTCCCACTATCAATCAATATTACTAACCAAGAAAACAAGAAATCCCCTTATTGTTATAGAAGAAATTATAAAACTTTTAATTTCACTTTGAGGACTTACATTATCGGAATCGACTTCTGATAATATTTCGTTGATGTCCCTACCATCATGCATGTTATATTCTCGGAGTGCCTGCTCTAGTTCTTCAACCGTAATGAACCTGAAACGACAGTTATATGTGAAACCTTAGTTAATTAGAATCAAATTGTACTAAATAGTCTAATTAATTATTAATATTAATATATTCAGATAATGATCAATTTATATAATAATTACCCGCTATTGTCTTTATCAAAGTATTGGAAAGCAGTATAAAGATGTTCTTCTTTGTTGATTCGGTTCAAATGCAATGTTGCTGTAATGAACTCGTCATAATCTATGGTTCCATTGCCATCAGCATCAGCCTGTAATATATAATAATTCATTTATACACAAAGAAACATTATTAATTCACACAAAAAAATCATGTATTATTTGTAATGAAATATCACAGAAGGAAGATTTTTTTCGTAATTAATAATTAAAGGGGACTTACAGCTTCTAATAATTGCTTGACTTCTTGTTCACTTAGTTTTGTGCCCTGCTTTGCAAGCCCTTGCTTGAGCTCTTCAATGGTTATGGTTCCACTATTGTCAGTGTCCATTCCTTTGAACATTTTCTTTAACCCCATGATTTCTTCCTCTGATAAGCACCCAGCAATTACCTGCACATACATATATGTGTGTGTGTATATATCAAGCTGAGTCCATTTCTTGCTGCTTTATAAAATATTTTCAGAGCAAATAATACTACCTCCTATCCTTAATATAGGAGCTAGTTGGGATTTAGATTTGGTCTTAAATATAAGATTTGAATCTACTTTTTCTTTCATATTTATATTCTTTTTTCTCAAACCAACTTACCTAATTTATAAATTACTACCTCCAGTATTTAATATAGGAGCTAGTTGGAGATTCAATTTAGTCCTAGGTATAAGATCCCAATTTACTTTATCTACAATATTTATCCATTTTGCCCTTAAGTAATCCCTATGATAATTGCATATATTAAGGAGTTACTATCAAAGGTGATTCAAATGCATATGGTTAATAAGAATATTTTACGAAAGATAATATTTATTTATTACAAAAATCCTAACTTAACTTATTTCTTTAATATTCGTAAATTTATATAGAGGTAGTAGTGTATAATCTTATGTTACACAAGGATATTTTAGGGAGATCAGGTCACATTTATTATAATTAAGTGATTTATCATACTTTCTTAATTAAGAAACAGGAGTAGTATCTTGTTTATTCACTTCATCAAAAAAAAAGAAAAAAGTATCAGGTTTATTCAAAGGCGTATGGGTAATTAATTATTATACCTTTAGAGCAACTTTCTTGAATTGATTCATCGCTCTGAATTGCTTGAGTCTGTTGAGCACAGCATTATCAAGAGGCGTATCTGGTGCTTCTCCATCCTCCTTTATCCATGGATGATCTGGTTTTAATATAATATTAATAATCAATGCAAAAGATAAATTGAAGGAGATTGAAGAAAGAAAGAAAGAAAAAAGAATGGATATAACATACTCAAGACTTGATAGGCTGTGAGCCTCTGCCTGGGATCTGAATTCAACATTTTTCTGATGAGATCTTTTGCTGAAGCAGATATGCTTGGCCATGGATCGGTTGTAAAATCAACATGCCCTCGTAATATTGCATTGAATATTCCATTTTCAGATTCTGCAAAATCCCACCATTTATTATAATCCAACTTTCAATTTAATTTCCACTATATATGCATTTTTGTTTTCTCTTTTGGGACTTAATTTCTTTTTAACCTCTTCAAATAACACACAAATTTGTTGCTTTTAATTAGTCCCATTGACTGGCAAGGCATTCTCGTAACAAGGTTCAGCTTAAGACTCTATTTCATGTAGATTTTTCTTTTGTTAACTTTTACAAGGAAACAAGTTTGTAACGTCGATCATGGAGGACTTTTAATGTCAGTTTTGAGAAGAGGGACATCTAACCAATCGAACCCAGGTTTAAAATCAAGATCAGTGATTAAGTTTGCGTAACTTTCTACCGAGTTATTTATTTCTGAGTATGTAGAGTTTTAAAATGAGGTGACTCTATTGAAAGAAACATATATTTTTTTTTTGGCCAAAACTGAAGAAAGATATATAAATATACGAACCTGCCCAAAATGGAGGAATACCACAAAGAAGAATGTAAAGCATAACACCAACACTCCAGATATCAGCTTCTGGCCCGTATTTCCTCCTCAATACTTCTGGTGCTATATAATATGCACTCCCAACAACGTCTTTAAATACCTCTCCTGACAAATTCAAACCATTCAAATTATTCTATCATCAGAACCCATTCAAATGAACAAAAAATTATCATCCTTGATAATAAGTTTTACCCTTTATAATATTCATCTCTGGTTTAAACTGTTTGCTCGATTAATAGGGACGTTACAAGGGTTTCTGGTATTATGCCAATGACCACACACACACACACACACACACACACACACACACACAAAGCTTGAGCTCGGTAACAATGGAGAAAATTATTGCGAATGAAGGAGATGAAACTTAATGAACCTTGCTTGTAAAAAACGGATAAACCGAAATCGGTGGCTTTGAGGGGAGAATTCTCGTCCTTATTAAGCAAGAGGAAATTCTCAGGCTTAAGATCTCTATGTATGACGCCCATGGAATGGCAAGTATGGACGATCTGCACTATGGTTCTCAACAAGGACGCGGCGGCTCGCTCGGTGTAATGACCTCTGGCGATGATCCGGTCGAAGAGCTCGCCCCCGGCGCAGAGCTCCATGACGAGATGAACCGATTGTTTATCTTCGTACGCACCTTTGAGTTCCACAATATTAGGCTGACCAGCCAAATGGTGCATGATTTGAACCTCCCTACGTACATCTTCTATGTCATCTTTGCTCGCAAGCTTCCTTTTGGCTATGGTTTTGCATGCAAATTGCTGGCCCGTTGCTTTATTTGTACATAAATGTGTGACTCCGAATTGTCCTCGTCCTAGCTCCTTTCCAATGCTATACGTGGCCTTCACGTCCTCCATGGGCCGGCCAAGGACGGTGCCGATCGGGGTGGCCTTTTTCGCCCGAGGAGGGGACGGTGTCGGAGAAGGCTTGGAGGACGGAGGTTTGGTAGGGGTGGATGTCCCGGGGTTGTTTCCACCTCCTCCTGTTGATGCATTGTTCTGTTGGTTGTCGGCGTTTGCTTCTCCTCCCTTGTTGTTGTCGGTGACCGGGGCATCGCTGCCCTTGCCGGAGCAACAGTTGCCCATGGCGGGGGAAAAGAAATAGATGTTGAAAGAGATTGAGACAGATATAAGATAAGGAAAGGTCAAGTTTTGAGAGAGTTGGGGGCTTTGGGGGTTTGAAGGCAAAACTTGTGAGGCTGGATTCTGGAGAGAGAGAGAGAGAATAATTTGGGGGATAAAGATAAAAATAAAAATTAGAAAATAGGAAATAGGAAATAAAAAAGCAAACATAAATGGAAAGCAAGGGATATTGTTTTGTTTGTTTATTATTAATTACTCCTCCGGTCCTAAATGTAAGACCCTTATACTAGAGAGTATAAGGGTCTTACATTTAGGACCGGAGGAGTATTTGTTTTGTTACGAGATAATGTTGGAGATGGTGAGAGATTGTAGGAAGAGCTAGTGGGTAAGGATCAAGATTTGAAAGACGGCAAATTTAGGAAGTGTGTGTGCGTGTGTGGTGGCTAAAAGGAGAAGAGAATCCTTCGGAAAGACATAGATTTTGGTCTGTTTTATGTCAAAACCTTTGCTTTCTCACAACTGCAACTTGTAACTCACCCCAAGTCAAATGTTGTCCCGAAACATACATGCATCCCCTTCACTCTTGAAGCTTGCCCCTTCTCAAGCAAAACTCACACATGTATATAATTTAGTATTTCACTTATTAATATAAAAACTAGTTAGTTATTTACCAAATTTTTCAAGTATTGTTTAATCCAATTGGCCGGGAAAAAAATCCAATTGATTGCAGTTCTTTTGACACTTTTTTTTTTTAAAAGGAAATAGTTAGCTTTACTTGTATATGTATAAGGGGAATTGAGTAATTTTCCACTTGACTCAATCAATGTTGATTAATTTTTCCTTGGCCAAAAAATGTTGATTAATATTTCCTCTAGTTATTAATATATGAGATATTTAACTAATTTGAATTGGTTAAGAAAATCAAATAGATTAACTATAATAAATATGATATGGTCTCTCTAAAATATCTTGCATAACATTATATTATATTATTTGGGGAAGTACGATAAATGTATATGAAAAACAAAATGAAATGAGATTTTGTATATCTAATATTAAATTTCATTCTTCAACTAGTTCATATATTACAGATCAAAAGGAGTATTTATTTTTATAAAATATTCTAATCCTAATACTAATTATACTACCCCGCCATACTTTTTTTTTTTTTGGGAGTAAACCCACCATACTTTAATATAAGGGTTATTTGATTAATTTTTGTAGATTAAAAAACAAGATGAGTAAGTTAATTATAACAAATGTGACGTGATTTTTCTTGAATAATCCAATGTGCAATAATAGATTATATATCCTTTTATAGGGTAGGTAACTTAATTTAAAAAATGGTAAATAAAGGAAACAGAATAAATTGAGATATTATATTTAGGATCAAATTCGATTCTTCAACTAACTCTTATATTATAAAACTTTGGCAAGTGCTCCTCTCTTCTAATTTATAGGATAGGAAAAGAAGATATTTTTTTGTCCTATTTATATAGGGCAGTGAGAGAAACATTGTATATAAATATATAATTTTATCTTTCATTTATTATTGTGTAGACTTTGTTTACAAGAGATATAATGTATATTAAATAAGAATAAAATTAAAATGTTGTTGAATTTTAAATGAGAGTTAGTAAATTTTAAATTTTATTTATTTATATAAAAGATGTTAGAAATTATTCACAAGTACAATTAGAAGAGTATATATACAAACTCGCTAACAGATCTTCCAAAAAAAAACGTACACTCCCCCAATGAACTTGTAGCTTGTAGCCACGTAGGAATCACTACCAAATACTCCTCCGGTCCTAATTATAAGACCCAATTGACTTATTTGAGGAGATTAAGGAAGTAAGTTAAGTTGGTTATTTATAATAAATAAGTGTTGTCATTCCTAAAATATCCTTGCTAATTAAGTATATTGACTAAAACTATCATTATTATAAGGATTATCTTGAAAAAAAATGCATAAATATAAGAGACAAAATGGATTAGGGTCTTATAATTAGGACCAAATAAAAAGTCAAATGGGGTCTTATAATAGGGACCGGAGGAGTAACATCCTACCAATCGCTGAGGTAAATTAAAGGATAAAGGATTCCTTAGTGGATGAATTAAATGCCGGTGATTTTTATAAAATTCCGTACGAGAGCCAGTTAGAAAGTTGTCAATGGTAGTTATTACCTAATTACTACTAATATGCCCCTATTGTAATATATCTCACTTGCCTCTATGCAATTTGTATGTACTCCACCTCTTTTTTTCAACTTGTTTTATGTTTATAGGGTTTTATTACATAATGCAAGTTAGCAAAATGCTATACATTTTTTTAAATTTTTTTAATATGCCATCAACTTTTTATTTATCATCTTTCTATATAATTATCTCTTGAAGTTAACTTGCCCTTAATTTGTCGCTTTGGGGTTACTCTAAAAATTAACCGAATTAATACAATATAGTGCACAATCCGAGTCGTATTCACTTTGAGGAGCCGAAAATGAAATTAAACCCTAGTAAATAAATGCAGTAACCTAAATTATAAAAAGGATTTTTGATTTGAGAATTTCTAATTAAACACCATGAATTAAATTGAAATTAAAATACTCTTTTTTTTTGTTTTTATGTAAAAAAATGATTAAAATGAATGAAGATTAAAGAAATGAAAATGAGACACACAAATAATACTGATGATAATCAATCCTCCAATTCAACAACGCAGGCAATCATCACTCTAAAAGGTGTGGGAGTTAAAAACAATGAATTAAGAATTATAATTAAGCTTTTAATCCAACAACCGAGCCACCTCGAATTGCCACAAAATATTTTTCTAAAATCCCAACTTACTAACTGCAACCAGAATAATAAAATAGGATTAAAGATGCTAAAAACCAATACTTAATTAGAACTCTTAAATCTAAAATAACAGAATTAAAGCTAGCAAGAGACAATATGATCCAAAATTCCAAGCCACCTTAGAAAATCACAATATATTAACTCCAAAATCAATACAAATGTCATAACCACAACATCATAATTGAAATCAAAGCTATAAACAACCCAATGTCAAATGCTAAACAATAATCCGGCTACAAAAATCTCCACAGATAATCAGATTTAACAATACGAAATTTTCTAATAATCAGAATAACTATCTTAAGATTTAGAAATTGTTAAACAATTATTAGACAGAAAATTAAAGCAACTAAAACTCTCCTTTGATGATCCAAGCTCCTGCCATTATTGTTGAATTAGAGAATTGTGAAACTAGACACGATTTGCCATAAAAAATGCCATAATCAGAGCTGTGTTACGGTTTGCCATGGAAGCTCGACGGTGAGGGAACTGATTTCGCTGTCTCACTCCTTCTGGTTCCCTCGGCAGCGGCGAACTCTCTGGCACCTCTCCTCTAGTGCTGTCGAGAAGGAGAAGAAGATGATGGATGGTGCCGCCCTCTCCCCTGGTCCGTCGGCCACACTTCTGGCCCTTCGTTCTGCTTTTCCGCCGCCTCCAGCTAGCGTGTGTGTGTGTTTCGTTCTCAGCTCGTGTCTTCCACCTCCAAGCTCGCTCGGCGTGCTCGTGTCTCCCCTGTTTTTCTCCAGCCGCGCCTCAGCTCGTTCGCGTGTCCAGCTGCTCTGTTTTTGTGCGTATCAGCTCCGGTCCCCTGTTTTCATTTTATTTTCTCTGCCGCCCCCCAAGCTCCTCGGCGTGTTCTCGCTTCCGTCTCCTCTGGCTCTATCACTCTCGCCATCTTCTCTCTGCCACCAGTGAGAAGACACAGAGAAGATGAATGGAGAGATTGCCGTCAACGGTCTCGACGCCTAGTTCGCCCTTCTGCTCCTGTCCAGCTCTCTCTCCGTCTCGTGTTTTAGCGCCGTCAAGCTGGTTTTGCCGTCAGTTCCCTCCTGCGCTTCCGTCTTCTTCGTGTGTGCTACCGGGTCTTCTCCTGATGATGAATAGAATTATGGGGTATTAGGTTGGGGGAGCAAAACGCAACGTTTTGCTCCCTCTTTTTATTATATTATATATTTATTTTTAATTATATTTTTTTCTTTTTAATTTATTTTTTTTCTTTTTTATTTTTAAATCTTCTAAAAACCTGCAAACAAAATTCAAAAATAAGATAGCATTAATTGTCCTAAAAAATCAATTAGTCACAATTAAACCAAAATATGACAATTTTGCCCCTATAAAATAATAATTCAAAATAAAATATATTAAATCAATTAATAATCAATTAAGGCCAAAAGAACTAATTAAGTTGACAAAACCCATATAAAAGATATCAAAATATATAAAAATAATTGAGTTTGTCATCTCTCTTACTGGATTGAAGTGAGTGAAAACAAAGATAAATCCTAAAATAATTATTAGAATTGTCTGATATACTTTCAAAATGACAAATGATAATGACAGATAAATAGAAATACTACTTCAAATTTTCTTTAAAATGATGTTTTAAAGAATTCAATGAGTTCATCTACTCATGAATTAAATAAAATATAAAACTATCATCGTATAACAAACTTTACGGTATGAACCTTATGCCTCTATCAATATCTTAGTTCATTTTACCACTAAGCTAAGCTAATTAATTAACACCGAACGACAGATGTGCTGTTTTCTATTTCACTATGTAATGGAAAAATTTCACTCCAAAATTAGGTGGATTTCATATAGTTCAAGAAGTTTGAGTTCATTGTGAATTCTACAGATTTTTTATATTATATATTTGGATGATGATATCAAGTAATATTGACATTCATATTGATTAAAAAGAAAATAATTATAATATTGTGCAGGAAAAAAGATATCAATATGGGTGCTCAACTGGCTCTTCTACTTTGCGTCGTCTTTGATTACACTTGCTTCCAAGTAATGTTTCATATATAACTATTTTAAACAAGAAATTTGACAATTTGTGTGTGTGTGTGTAACATTGCAATATAGTATCTCTAATTCTTAATATAAGAGCTAGTTGATTAATTTGAGTAGATTAAGAA